AATCACTGACAAAATCAAATAACCGGATGTTCAAGTTTTGGAACAGAAAGGTGGACCCGCGGGGGAGTGTCATGTCTAGGAAATGATGTAATATGGCCTGATCTTGTGACTCGTCGGGCTCGTGACTCGTGTTGGTTTTCTGTTGTCAAACAAGCGCACACACACATACACACGTGTGTGAGTGAGAGAGTGAGTGAGTGAGTGAGAGAGTGAGTGTGTGTGTAGACCTTTAAACCAACCTGAACCAAACCATAAAAATCTGAACTAAACCTCCTCTGCTACACCAAACTAAACTCCCTCTAAAGAAAAGCAGATAAATCCGTTTAGGACGCGACGATGAATCCAGCTACAGACGACACGTGGAAATAACTGCAGTGCCGATTACACAACAGGAAGCATGTTAGTGTCACCTTCCCGAGGTTGTTAGTAAAACAAGATCGGATCACTGCTCGAGTAAATTTAAGTAAAGACAGTGAAACCTGTTGAAGGCTGACTGGATACCGAGTGACGCAATCTCACCCTCGGCGTGCTCCTCTCGCAATCACACGGACATTCACCACATAAAAATACTTTCCCCTTCGTCATACACACACGTTCTGCTTCCAGGAAGCTTTTTTATAAGTTCTTCAACACAAAACTCACTCAGCAGCAGCGCAGCGCTCAGCTTCCACCCTCCAGCCATCGCTCTGGTGACTAAATACTCACTTCCTGGACTCCTGTCTTTGTTCTCACACGGTCTTTGCTACCAAAACTCCCCCTCAATGCCGCGCCTTCAAAATAAAACGTGCTGAGAGTTATATGATTTAAAACACATGAAAGGGAAGACTCACTGCAAACTAACACATACTGATCTCTGATCAGCTTCATCCTAGATGAGGATGCACTCATTCACAGCTCAAAGGGAGTCACTGAAAGGTTAGACGAGCATAAAATGACGTGAATCACATGGAAACACATTCACTTAAATCTTTTAATAAGTTCTGCTGAAAGTCGACTCGACAAGCACAAGGCCTGTTACCTTTAGTGATCATGACTGATTAGATCTTTGCCAGCATAATGAGGATCGTTTGGCAGCTCTCACTGGAACCACTGATACTCAGACCAATGAGTATTGGTCAATGTGCGGAGTCATCGGTCTTCCACACTGGAGAGTTTCACATGATCATGGACTGCGAGGGTCGCGACCATAAAAAGCACCTGCTTCAAAGATGTGCACGAGCCAAATGCAGTCTCTGGAAGAGTTTTAAAGATTGAGCTCTTTGGCATCAATGACGCGTGGTATGTTTGGACGAGTTAAGATTCAGCTTCAAAGCTAAGAACACTGAACCAGCTGTCGAGCATCAGAAGCTGTTCTTCTGCAGTGGTGCTCGCACACTACACAAAGAGGAGCAGGACTACCTTCAAATTCTCTGAGACAGTTGAAACTTGGACATGATGGGGGGTTCCAACAGGACACATTAAACCTGGTTTTGGAATAAATAAAAAAGGCTAACGCTAAAGCCACGACCTTATTTAAAATCTGAAGTCGGGTCCGTGCCAGGAAACTAACCAATTTTAATTTAGACTCCACCTTTTCTGCAGAGACTAGTGGTTAAATATCCAACCAGAATTATGCCAGAAGCACCAGTTTAGCTCACCGGGATGAGCAGGCCTTTGTCGCATGTCTTCCCCTCACCCTCCCTCCGCTTTCCTGTCAGTCTTCACTTTCCCAGAAGCATGTTGATGGATACTAAAAAGCATCTGGTCAAGATACAACTTGTTAAGTTACATTTAACCATATATTAAAGGTGTGTATGTCTACACTCGAGTCTATTGAAACCTAATGTTGTTAAAGGCTGTACAATCATTTCACCAATCAGTTCAAAGAAATCATTAAAACTCACAAATTATCGTGACATTCATTGACATTACATCCATGCTGAATGGATGTTAACTCTTGACCGTCTCCACTACCATCACCAAAACACCCAATCAAGGATTTTTCCTTTGGAGATGGCACACTGACCGTGCACTCAGCCACAGTTTTTCCTTTAATTTGTCACCTGTCATCAGTAAAGTCTTTAAATCTTAGTATATTTCTAATTATTCAAAAATATATGTGACTGGATTCAGATGTGCTGGACTGAGTTAAAGATGAGTTTTAAGGTTTGTAAAGAGTCAAAACTTTGAAGCGGGAGTTTGATTATTGATGTTGCTGCTAAAC